CCGGAGAAGGCGCGCGAGGAGCGCTTCTGCGCCGGGGGAGGAGCAGCAGAAGGCGCCCTTCGCCGCCCTGCTCTGCTCGGGACTGCCGAAAAGCCGCCTGCCCGGCCTGGCTTCTGAAGCTGGGGCCCGTGCTCGTGCTAGGCTCGAGGCGGCTGGACTGAGTTGGAGGCCCGCCAGCAGTGGGGCGGAGCAGGTTGGCTATTCTTTTCCCAGCGCCGATCCTGACTTTGCAGCGCCGGAGCTGAACTGGGCTGTCCCCACCCCAGATGGGCCAAGGAATCGCCATCGCCTGGCCCGCTCCTCCCCGGGAGCTGTCACCTTCCAAGGCCGTTTGGAGGAGCCGGTGGGCCTCTACTCCGAGGCCCCTTCTGACCTCCACCGCTTGGGCTGCCCTCCTCTGGGGCTGCCTCCGGGGCCAAAAGAGCAAAGGAGCTGGAACAAACAGCTGTAGATGTTGGGGTCATGCCTCCCACCCCCGCCCCAGGCTGGGGCACATCCCAAAGCAGTCCACCCAGGCCAGATTGTCTGCGGAGTAGCATCTTCAGTTGTGACAGGGTCAATTGACTTCAGTTGACCTGGAGTTGTACCAGCGAGGACAGAAGACAGTCCAATTCTGGGCCGTTTGTTTTTTTATTGAAGGCCAGAGACAAAGAATAGTTTGCAGAAAGCTTCAGAGAAAGAAGGGAATAAGCCAATACAACCACGGACACAGGATCACCTGTAAGGACCGAATTAATAGTCCTTACAGCTGAGCATCGACCGTACAGAACGTCGGAGCCGCTTTCATTTCACTCCGTCGCTTCGGAGCAGGACTGGGAGCTACTTACTTCTGTGGGGCACTCGGTCGTTGGACCTTTTCCGGCAGCCTGAGCATCTGCTCGGGTCTTTTCTAGAGGTTGGGGAACAGGGCTAGCTTACGCCTTGCAAACCAGCCAGGTCCTCCTCCACCCAGGAGGGCTGTAAGGATGGCGCACACCGAGCCCCGCGCAACCATTTAGCGCACTTCGCTTCGGAAGCGGTGCTAAGCCAGCCGCTCTTTCCCTGCCTGTCGCCTGGCAGCGAACAGAGCGCCTTTGGTTCCGTGGGGCACGGTGGGTCTGCCGGACCGCCACCGCTAACCTTGGGGGTCCTCCCCATCGCGGGAGGTGAAGCGGAGAGGTGAGCCTGGCGGGCCGGGCTGCCCCTCGCTTCTTCCCGCTACCCAGGCCGCTCGTTTCGCTTTCCCCTACCCAGGGTCAGGCGCCTCTGACTCGCCGGCTTTCCCGAGCCGGACTTTCCGGAAGCGCAGAGACGGGATCG